ATAAAAACTGTGTTCGAAATATTATCAAGACTACTTTTTGGAGTTAACTTATGGAGAATATTATGTTTACTTAAATATTGATTAACACTGCCAAAATGTTAACTATAAATTATTTTGAATCTGATTGAAGTTTTTCATTGTATCATTTATTGTTATACGTTGTAAATTATGGAATTTTAATAAATATTGGAGCATGAAAGTGTTTAAGCTTGAAATCTCTCAGTTGTTGCTACGTGCGTGTGGCAGAAAAATTGTACCGTTCCGACTGGAAGAGATATCATTGAGACGCCTGTCCAGTAGCCTCGCTCTATTCTCGTACTCCTATTTGTGGACTGGCGTGAAGCCGTCGCAGCAGCTCCAATAAAATGGACCGTAATGGCGCTAATCTAGGGTACAAATTAACTTTCTCCACCGTCATCCGTATGACCTTTTGCCGCGCTGAGCCGAATTGAGCGAAAGGACCCACTCCTTGCCTCTTATTTATCTTAATTTCACTCCCCGAAGAAATGACAAATGAGTATTATTGCGGTTGCATGGAGCACAACATCAATACGTATATTTTTCGTTTTGAATTAATGTTATTGTTATAAAAGACGGCGAAAGTATACAAAAGTTGTAACAACATCATCGACTTGCTCATTTGAAACAAAAAGGAATACGTTTATTCTGTACCATAATTTGTACATTATGTAACAAATGAACATTATTTATTATTATTTTTAAGTTTTCGCGTAAAACTTACGAAATATATTTTGGTGAAAATAAATATAACAATGTAACTCTTTTCCGAGTTTAGACAAGTTTGTATAGTAGTTAGTTTGCGTTCACCATTACACCTTAGCGCCACTCAAGGCAGATCTAAAATCGTTCAGAACTTTAGAAACAGCTGAATACGTTACATAGTTGATTTGTTTGCAAATAAATTTAACAGTCGCCGTTATCGACAATTGATCCAGACAAGACGACGAGGCACATCACTAAACGCGGCGTCCAACCCGCCGTGCCGTTTCTCAATAATTCATCCGATTGAGTCCGCAGCGCTGTTGCAGGTAGCGCACTGGCCGAACAGCTTCGACTTAGCCCGTTAAGCTATCGCTACAATCGGAATTGTTGCCCGCTCCGCTCTCCCTTCTTGGCGATTTAATTAAACCTGTTATTTGTACGTTTTATTTCGCAATAGCTACCGTGTGCGCTTTGATTACCCGGGGCGCCTAGCCTTTTGTGCGCGACGCTGAGCGCTTCGTGAAGTTCGTTGATGCGGACTTTTTTCTTTTCTCTCTTCAACTGCCCTGTTAACTCCGAATAAACAGTTTTGCTATTAATTTTTCACTCGCAGTTGCCATTTTACGGGTTTTGTTTTAATAATAGCATTAATGGAATTTTGGTGTAAATTTAAATTAAATTTTATTTTTATAGACCCCAGCGAAGTTATTTCACATATCTTTTTTAATTACAGAGTTTGTAATTAGAGAGACAGATAACAATCACACATATATAAATGTAATTTACTTTATGAAAAAATAATACACTCGATTTGAAAGCTCATGAAGAATTAAGAATAAGTAAAAATAAGACTAGAATTTAATTTTTTTTCTCGCAATTCGTTTACTTTTATTCAAATAGTCATGTCTGTAGATAAGTTTATCTATAATGTAATATTAAATTAAGATTAACAACAACACGCGAAGGTACCGAGAAAAGGGATTCACGGCGCACTGAACTTATTACGCAAATAGCGTGTTTGGCATTTACGTCTATCTGACCTTTGCTCGAAATTTTGTTGCAACACATCCTTTAATGATATACTTACCGATTATATGCTAAGCCTATATATAAAATCTGCTATATAAATCGACCAAATTAAACCGACTAAATTAAATATACATTTAAATATGCAAAAAAGGTATTTCGTTTTATTAATGAATTAATGATAATTGAATAATTAGTTGAATATGACAATAAACTTAAATTGATTAAAGTATCTAGGTTTAAATAAGCTAATCTGTATTTTCGAAGTCTTCACGTTACAGATATTTCACTGTTTGATAATAATAATTTTATTGGTGCATTAGCACCAATAAAATTAAGCTCAAGAATTACTATTTTTATTATCTAAATATGTACTAAGTAATGTTATATATCAGCATAAAAAATGTTATTGTCCTGTGTGGGTTCATTAAAAAAAATTGACAGAATATGTTTATAATATTTATATAAATATAGATAAAATCACTTACAATAACTTCGACGGTTGACAATTATTGTAACAATGCCTTATAAACTGAAATAAAAAGAGTTTGAACTGTTGCAGATTAAATGCCTAAAGCTCGGGAGGACCGTAGATGTCGAAAAGTTAGCAATTAGGACTTTTTTCTATCACTTCATTAACGACTCCGTAGTTGGCTTTAAATTCGTCCCGTCGTTTCTCTTTACAACGGAATATTTGATATAAACTCTTCTACGTTTGTGATTCTCTATATATGTATTCGGGTTTTGTTTGAGACAACAATATTTTTACACCGAAATTTCTGGTCTATATTTATATTTTTACTAGTGACCCGCACCGGCTTCGCACGTGTGCAATGTATTGTACATATAAACTTTCCTCTTGAATCTCTCTATCTAGTAAAAAAAAACTGCATCAAGATCCGTTGCGTAGTTTTAAAGATCTAAGCAAACATGGGGACAGACAGACAGCAGGACGACTTTGTTTCATACTATGTAATGAAGATGAAATACGAATAATTTTTATTTAATAAAATCGAAAACCCACCATGGGTTTTAGATTTTACTAAATGTAAATTTCAATGACTGCCATGTCATTAAATGTACAAAACTTTGTTCTGTTCAATAAAGTAATAAGAAAATCGTATCTTTAAAAATTTCTATTAAAATCCAATTGAGGTTAAAAAAGTTCATAATTTAATAAAATTTTTACTACTATACTATATAAAATATAAAATATATAAAATCATCCCTTATTATTTTTCATTATTAACTAATCGCTGATTTTTAAGTGCTTAGAACTTAGGACTCATCTCCTATTGCCCGATTATTTATATCCCGAAAAAGTATCGAGCTGCCCCAACAGCGATTTCCGAGCCGCGGAGATTGATGTAGCGATTCTCCCAGTCGCTATAGTGAAGCGGCTGTCGCGCTATAAATTAAACGCGACTCATATTAGTGGAGGCGTATTATAACCGAGCAACATCCCGCTCAGACGTACGCCGGGGGACGATGTTAGACAAGGACCGAAGCAGCGGCGCTACGGCGGGACCGCTTTTTTGTTATTCCACGGCGACTCCAACCGTTAACCGTAACTTTGTTACTCTAATGACGTCTTAAGTAAAGGCGTTTAGCGCACAATAGCTCGGAACCGTCCTGTGTGCGTTGAATATAAACTGAACGCGATCCGACAAGTCCGTACGGCCGCGTTTCTCCGTAGGTAGCCGGAGAGGCATCGTTAAGCCAATGAGAGAAGTATTTCTTACTTATTTAGGTTAAACATAACGCGGCGTCCGAGAGGCGATCCGACGAGATTGCCGCGGCCATGGCGTACCTATCTGTAATCGGTAAATGGTTACTTTAGGTCCCGATATGTGAGGCATCCCCCGTGGAATGTCGCCGCCGCCGTGCGCTCTTATATGCCCGGCTCGGACTGAATTTTTTCTTATCGCCGACGCATTTTCTGCGAGTTTTCAATGCGACCGACGTGGAGCCAGCTCGCATCTAGTGTCGTACTGTTTTATCGCCGCGATAACATGGTTCGGCCTGCCTTTTTCGCCCATTGGCGGTTGTGCGCTTAAAATTAACCGGTCAGTAATAAATTTAATTACTCCCCGGGCTGCCTATTTTTGTGTCGTGTCGTTTCTCATTGCAGCGCAAAAGTTTTACTTTTGCCGTTTGATGATAAACATGCCTCGTGTTTTGGAGCGCTTGGTTAGAGATGTTGTATTATGGTTTTTTAGGGGTTTTATTTCGAAATGTTTTCGTTCAGCGAATAGGCATATTCAATCCAACAACATATACAAAATAGCTTTTATTGTAACACACGGTTATTATCAGTTTTCAGTAGATATGACTATACCTACGTTTTAAACCAGACTTAACCGTTGCTAATATCGCTTCGACTTGGACCAAGGAGAGAGCTATCAAAATTTGACGATCATAGAACATTTTAACTTTGTTATTTTATATTTCTTTATTAATTTATAATGTTTATCGGGCTTATGCTATCATCGATTCGAGTACATCAACAGCGCCCTGCAATGTCACTAAGCTCACAGTTAAGTGTAAGGCAGTAAATAAGAGAGCAATTGTTCCGGGGGAGGTGGAGGTAATAACTCGCTCCTGACATCCATCAAGACGGCGCAATCGCTCCTCTGTCAGTTCTATTCCGGGACGGTGCGTTTCGCTAATGACCCTCCAGAGATGTAAGAACGCGCGTCATTCACAACGGCCGAATGACAATGACTCTATTTTTCTGCCTCCACTGTATTCGACAAATTTAAACAAATTTGCGCCTCAATAGATGTATCGTATAAACCTAGTATATTGCTAAATTTATTGAACAGTTTATTACTTAATACAGAATTTTATTACTTGTTAAGAAGTGCACCAATATTTCACATGTTGTACATTCATTTGTTAAACTTATTGATTTGAGGGTTCTTGATTTAACAACACTTGATTTAACAGGTGCGTCGTTTCCAAGACATGTCTTTGCGCCGACCATCACGATTAAATAAAATCGAAAAAACTATCGGATAGATTTCAATTAATTCTTCTTACTTTTATTTCGTACACAATTGACAATTATCTAAAAAAAATGTGATACCTTTATTCGATGTAAAGTTATTAACGGTTTTTAATGGCAATGCGTTCGGTGATTGTCACTCTGCGCACTAAGTTTTTGATAACGCAGACGAATTCGCGGCTATCAGCTGACCACGAATAAAGGCGCGCGCGTTCCACGCAGTGCGGACGGCGACGGTAATTTATTTACGTCGCAGTTTTCTGGCGGCGATTTTCCCACAGGGGCGGCGTCTCAAACGCGCCGCGGTCGCCCCTCGCGGCCCTCTTTTTGCGGCACCACGAAATACTGCCGGTGGATGGCCGGCCGACAATCGGCACACGGCCCATTCCCCGCGTGCCTCGCTGGCCGCGGGTGCTTTTTCATCCGGAGCCCGTCCGCCCATGGCCGGTGCTATTTAATTGGCCTCCATTTATTCGGACGTTTCTGTGTCCCTGGTGGACTTTTGTGTCGTCGAGGTTTGAGTGATACGCTCTTGCGATGACTGCAATGACCGCCGATGAAAATGAAACAGTTTCGTGTCTGTGAATTCGTATTTTAGGCACGTTAGGTTATCCTCTATAAGATGCTGAAGTTTTGTCTGACCACATACATATAGATCGCTTTGCTCTTTGCTACCTTAGTTGATTGGTGAAATTAATATACGTAGATTTGGTTTTGTCTTTCATGCCATAAGTTCAATTTTGATCATGCCTGAAAGTCAGTGCTATAAGTGTAGAAGACTGACTAAGAGAAAATAATGTCATCACAACATTGAATGAAAATGATTGAAGAACAACAATATGAATGAAATAGCGCACGCAATTACTACATGCTTTTCAAAAGTATACATTTTTAGTTTCTGCTTCTATTTCTTATTAAAACAGGAAATTCACAGTTAAATAGGCATTGTACATAAAGGAATTTGAATACAATAACTGCAATTGTCTTAACGAGCATATCGGCCGTGTCGGTTATGTTTTATTTGTTTTTATAACAGCACCGCCATATCAACATAAACTTCTCTGTACGGACACTCCACGTTCGCGTAGCTGTTGCGCTAAATGCATAGGATGTGGCGAGTCCGTCGGGACATTTCATTAGCGGGACCCGCGTATATCATTGTTTCATTGTTCTCTTTGTGGACCACCTGCCTGTCGGGTCCACAGTCTCCGCTCCAACTGCTACACGGCTGCAGTGAAACCCCATAGTCGGCAAATTTCATTGCGCCAGAAATCTCGCGTCCCACAGAGACGGAACGCAACACGCCTCGCTCTAGTAAGAGTTTGTTTTTATTAATGCCCCATTGTTTATTATCGCCGTTCGGAATCGATTCGGCGATAAGCGTCCGTCCAAAGCGTAGCGCCAACCAATGTAAGGTCGCCGAGCCCGAAGAGCAATAAGATCCGTATCGCCGAGTTCCGATATCGCATCTAAGATTGCCGCTCTTCTGACACGGGTGCCGTACTAAACGGCGGCGGAAGGAATCAAAGGGGGCAACGGCCAAATCTCAACGCCTTCGGCGTCATTAACATTTCTCGTGAATACCATTCAAAAATTACCATTTCGGCATGGAATGCCCGTTAACTTAGTTATGTGAACTCGGTGTTCGGCACACGTACACGAGTGTTACCAACGCTTTGACCCGAGCTGATGGTGTGATGCCTTCCAGCTTATAATACGACGTAGGTGGGCGGATGCATTAAGCTATTTGATTGCGTATACTATATTAATTCTCCCAATCTTAAAAAATATCATGTTTGGGCGATTTATCATTAATAAAACTGACGCAGATAAAATCATATTTTTCTTTGTATATATACCTACACTATATTTCATCTGGTGTGTAAGCTTAGCCCAAACTGTTAACGGCAACGCAACTGCAACATCATAGATATTATAAATGTATACGTAGGCGGTGGTAATCACTCAATTTAGTTCGAACTGTCTGCACATGTAACCGTTTCGTAAGAAACTTTTAGTACCTTGTGCACAAGTAAAATGCCCGAAAGGTATTAGCAAATAGCTAACACTACCAAAACGGAACAATATTTAAACGTTGCTCTGAAATACCCTTATGAAGATTATTTAAGGAGAAGACCCTGGCAAGGTCGTATGTCAATTATTATCACACTTTTAGTGGGTGGCATTCAATAGATCGATCTTTAAACACTGATCTACATAAAACTCATCACAACAAGCTAACGAAGGCAAAAGACAGTTAAGGCCCATTTACACGGTGCCAGTTTCTTGCCTGTTGTATACAATTAAATTGAAGCAATAAATAAGTTGCATGGTCTAAACAACAAATGGTCTAACCAATTATTGCGCGCAATTTATTGCATTCAATTATTGCTATTGCATGTACAAGAAAATGGCATCGTGTAAATGGGCCTTTAGTGGTTGATGTTGAAGTTAGTCCGCACCTCGCTTCGGCGACCAATAGATGATCTCAGCTCTATAATTTACTCTCGCTCAGCCAAGCTACAAAGTCAAAGCCGTCGATATTACTATTTTACGTATGCAAACATGTGCTTACTTTGAGCATAGTAATTAGACGGGTGTTGGGTCGCGGAACTTAGTAACATTTCCGTGGTTACTGTTACCTATCATGGTTAAAATAGTCATAGATATTAATCGATTTTCATACATCAAACAAAAAAGTGTGATTTGATGATATGAATAGCTCGATATAATTTGAACGTTAATTCATTTTGTCAGAAAAAAATCCAAAGAAAAATCCGCGTGAATAAAATTTGCCTCTATTATTTATATAATTTATTATTTATATATTTTATATATTATTTATATAATTATATTAAAATTAATTTTCGCATACAATATGTAAATTAAAATAGATACTCCCATGTCACTCCCACTACTGATACGAATCTAATGATACCTCATATGTTAAAAGATTTAGGTCGAAGAACTGGACATACATAATCTCGAAAAATATTACCCTCTTTCAGCAGTTGGGTAAAAACTTAAAACATATATTGAGCTCAAAAAAAGAAAAAATAACGGTAAATAATTTTCATCTAGATCGCATAGAGACAGTTTGATGTATAGAGTAGATGAGTCAACTTAATTTTGAAATAGAAAGTTTGTTTTGTAGGTTGACGAGACATTTGTTACCAAATTGAATAATAGCTGGCAAAACTCCGAGTGAAACGTGTCTAATATCGCCTTTATATTTCGCGCCCCCGCGTCCCTTGTTTAACAATAACAAAGGCGGGATTATGTGGGATTTTCGAACCAAAAGTGGTATGCTACTCGTTTGATATACTTTACCGCTACTTATGAAGTTAATCTGCGGTGTATTGTGAAGTATTATCGTAATTAAACTGCGCATTCAAAAGTAATCTCAGTGCATCAACGGGGCGGAATCAGTGAACAATGACGTATTCGCTATAAAACCTATAATCGACATTTCTGCGTTGTAAAAAAATCTTTTGTTAAAAAGGATAGTTACCGAGCAACCAATTTGCGGGCATTCCAAAATACCGCGTAGTGGTCATTCGGCGGGCGTTGCAGCCGCAAGCGACTGAATCTCATAAATAAGCCGTCGCTATTCAGCTAACAATCGGTGCCCCGATGGGCATCTGGTCAGATTCCGAGGCAGCCTGCCGTGGAGGCCGCGTGTGTGCCTCCGCATGCCACGGCGGGAATACGCCGGGCCCCGCATTCGGCCCCTATGCCGAATATTCCATGCACAATGGACGCGTGCAATTCCGTCCAGTAATGCAGTCCGGCTAAATTGAATGTCGCATGAATTCGGAACGGCCCTCGCATATCGTCTCCAATTGTATCGATGCTGGATAATTTAAATAACCGGCCCTCGGTCGTAATATTTGCCGTATTGCCGTCGTTGAAATTCTATTGGAATTTACTCAATGACGTGATTTTTAAGAGTGTTTGAAACAATTGAAACCGAATTTATAGAAAAACATTATGTATATTGGAAAGAGTACATTTTTAATAACGAAAAACAAAACCAACATGAAATATCTCATTCACTGTACAATTTCTGCTTGATTTTGAGGAGTTTCCTGATCTCGTATCATTGGAGTCCAAAATCAAATGAATTTATTATTGGACTACATGGGAGCTAAACCAGAACCAACTTAAAATCTTCGAATTTATTAGGTAAAATAAACAAACAAAAAGAATGCAACCGAATTAAGAATCCCCTCCATTTTTTTTCCCTCCAAGTCGGTTGAAAATGAAAGAGACGTACGTGCCCTCTTTGCTACAATGACAGCGCATTCAACTAAATTTATTTTAAAAAATATCCTCGCTTATTATTCCCATGAATCACGACGGCGAAACGTACGAAATTTGTATTACTAAAATTTGGCAGCGGTTTAGTTACTCATGAAAAGCGACAAAAAACTTCTGAGTTAACAATAATTTAAAATGAAAATTTCAAATGTCTGTATCATCAGGCGTTCGGTACTATTTCACGATATCTTAGTTATATACCATCGCATGACATTAAATTCAACTACGTCTTCTCTATCTGCGGCTATGATCTTTGAAAGAACTTAACGCTGACTTTAAAATATGCATTAATGATAATTTTTTAGGAATAATGTATCTGTTTAATTATTTTAAAGTTAAATCCCGATTAAAGAATATTAAATCCCGTTCATAATTTACCATGATATCCACATGAATGCATTATCCTTTAAAATTAGACTTACGACGAATACTTGGCTATTATTCTTTAATCGACCGATTCCAATTCGAATCGAAGCGATTTTTATAATTTTTTACCGAACACCGAATATACATAGGTACTATTCGGCGGAATACTGAACACATAATTAAGGTGTTTTAATGTACACAATTAATTGCAAAAAATGTTAATGTTAATGTTAATTAATTTTATAATTAGAAATGTAATATAGCAAGATTACGATGATCAGTGTTTCAGAAACCGGGCGTTAGTCTTTCTGCTCTGTGAACTGTGTTTAAGCCAGTAGTTTACTTCTTTTATTTCCACACGACACTCGGTAAATTTTTGTGATCCTCGAAATAAATTCATAGAGGTCTTTTTAGTGGTCATAGCCGATTATTTATTATTACACTTGACTTAATTTTTCTTAGAAACTAATAAAAATGAAGAGAGTATGATAAACTGTGTGTAAATATTTATTATGAAACACGTATTATCTTGTGCTCAGCAGTGAAGCATAAGGTCGAAATTTGAATATTTTCCAAATAATAATACAAAAAATGATATTTCGAAGATATGGCAGGTCTGTTAATCCGCAGTGGGGTCGCGTGGTAGACTATGGCGTAGAGTATAACGCCATAGAGGACTACAGAGGAGGCTTTTGCCCAGCTGTGGAATTTGTATATACTGACTTTTTTCTATGTGTATAAACTAAATTAGTCAAA